AACATTCTGTGATATTCTCGTCAGCTGTGGCTACAAGCAACATCATTGCAGTGGAAGAGAATGCAAATAACTCTGTGAGCTCCATTAAATGCCACGCTGTGCTGTAGTGGAAGTGACATTTCCTTATTACTCAAACATCAAATGGAACATGGCACTTATTCTCAGGCAAGTTAATATTTGTGACAAATACAATAGCTCCAGTAGCTGCAGAGAGAGAGAGAGAGAGAGAGAGAGAGAGAGAGAGAGAGAGAGAGAGAGAGAGAGAGGTGATGGGGGGATGATAGCAGATATGCTGATGAGGCCTAATAAAAATGAGCCATTAATTAGCAGTGACCTTATCTACCCTACTGACAGAGACTAAGAACCTGGCATCCTGGCATCTGGAAACACATATATCTTGTTTTGCTTCATTGCCTAAATTTTTTTATCAGTGGTCCTTTATGTGATGGGTTGGGTTTCATTAGGTATTTTTGAAAAAAGTCTCTCCTAGGAGCGCTCTTAAAGTATGTGTGCAGAGGTGTGTGTGTGTGTGTGTGTGTGTGTACATGTGAGGGAGAGAGAGAGAGAAGACAATCTAAAATTAGGATTCTGTAAAGATTTCACATATGTCTGAAGGCATCGCTGTACAAAGCACAGTGTTCTATTAGGCACGCTGGGAGGAGATATACCCCATGGAATAACATTTTAAATTGCTGATCAGCAACAAGAAATGATTACGATGATTGTAAGTGACAATAGAATGGTTAAAGGCAGGTAAATAAATGAACCAGAGTAAAGAACCATCTCAAGAACAGGTCTTGTAACAAATCTCTTGAAGAATATTGGTTCTAATCCCAAATGAACTAAATTCTTATGCAAGTGCAGAAATAACACACCTCGGCGAAGCAGACATTGTTTGCATTGGGAATACAGAGTAAGGTGGTATCAAGTTACTTTCAAGGTACTGTGATTTATCTTCATCCTATGTACAAACTGACCCCTTAGCTTGCTCACATTTCTCCAGGACAGGGGTGGGGGTCGGGGGGACCAGTACCAGAGGGGTGGGGAGGACACAAACTGTGCTGGTCAGGGAGAAAGAGGTTTTAATTCTCAACAAAGCAGGCAGCTGGTGCCTCATGCCTTTCTTTGCTCCTTTGCCTTACGTCCTGTCAGAGTGACGCAGCCAGGGCCGTCTAGGCAGCTGCAGTCTACCCTGGCATTTATTTCACAGCTATGGTATTGCAAAGGCAGAAGACCAAGACAAGCTATAATTGGCTTTAAATAACCCTGCCCTGTACCTGTCTCATGGTGAGCCATCACAGGAGTATATGAAGAAATGAATCTGCTTCCATTCATGTAGGATACATGACCTCTACCGTCTCGTCATAGTAGATACACAGTGTTCCTGAAAAGATGGGCAGCAGGCCTCTGCCCCTCACACATGGGGAGGACCAGCAAAACGAAATCTTCCAACCAAGGTGCCTATTCAGTGAGAACACATCCTGAGAAGACCGTGGTTCATAAGGGAGGAGAACACGTGGGAAGAACGGTTACTCTGAATATCAAGGATCCAGTCATTGCAGATTATTAAAGATCAAGCTAAAAGCTAAGGGGGAAAGTCCAGTAAGCCTGCACTGAAGGTAAGACTTAGCATCTCTAACACATTTGCATGCAAAGCAAGGTTCACACACTCCACTCATTGCGTCTCAAGGTCTCTACATTATTTCTGGGTCTATTGAGTGGCTCCATAGCCAATACACACTTGACTAAAAGTGTGGGTCTTAGGGGCTGAAGGGATGGCTCAGTGTTTAAGAGTACTGGCTGCTCTCCTAGATGACCTGAGTTCAATTCCCAGCACCCACATGATAACTCACAACTGTCTGGAACTCCAGTCCCAAGGGCATCTGACACCCTCTTCTGGCCTCCTCAGGTACTGCATAGACATGGCGTGTAGACAAACAGACATCCAGGCACACAATACATATGAAATAAAAGTGTGTGTGTGTGTGTGTGTGTGTGTGTGTGTGTGTGTGTGTGAGAGAGAGAGAGAGAGAGAGAGAGAGAGAGAGAGAGAGAGAGAGAGAGGGAGACTCAGTTGTACTAGAAGTTTATTGTGGCACGACAAAGTTTTCTACTTAAAAATTCTGGATTGCTTAATTTTTCTAATTTTGTTTAATGTCTGTAGCCCACAGCTGAACACCACAGAGTAACTGAAACAACAGAGGTAAAGAGCATAGCCACACATTGCTTTGCTAAATTGTGGATGGGATATTTTCTGTAGCATATGGACAGTACAGAACAATACTTGGACCTGTTCTGTGGATTTTAGAGAAGAGCGTTGCCATTCACATTAAAGTAAATCGAACAAGTAGATTTTGGTTTGCTGTAAGTGGCTTGGTAACTTTCATATCTTTGCCTTAAATAATTAAAAAGACAAAAATATAAAGGGGATAAAATGAACAGCGTCATGGCTTATAAAATCTATGTCTAAAGGTGTGGCCACCAAACACAGGCATTTCTGCATTACACCATATGATTTCCTGTACACTGGACATTCTCCTAACTTGAAATATGATGTAGGTAGGCCAGTTTTGCAACAGCTTATGAGAAATTGCTGAGCAGTTCTTCTGGATAGACCCATAGTGATATGTATGATACAATTTTATTAAATAAACATCTTATCTATGTAAAATGGCCTATGTTGGAGTTCAGGAAAATAGTAAGAACATCTCTGATCTTTACAATATATTCGATTTGACTTTCACAGTCCTCTACATTTTATATAGGTGTGGAACATACTATACATTTTCAAACATACTGAGTTAATTTTTTAATATTACATTTTTGTGTGTATACCACATGTGAGTGCAGAAAGCCTCAGAAGCCAGAACAGGGGGGCATTAGATCCCTTGGAGTTATAAGCAGCTGAGAGCCACCTGATATGAATGCTTGGAACTAAACTGGGGTCCTCTGAAAGAGCAACTTACTCTTAACTGTTGAGCCATCACTCCAGCTCCTTCAAAACAATCATTGAAGAAGTATACATTATGTGTACTAGGGAAGGTCAATGTGACATTTGGACATCTGCACTCAGTTCCAGATGTTCTTTATCCATCTTTCCTCTAGACCGACTTTGCCTTTACTGATCACTGTTTTTGCTTTCGTTTTTGTTTTTTTTTTAACTTTGACAAAAGTCAACATGTAGCACTTGTCTTTGGCTTACTTAATGTCCTGTAATTTTTACCTGTCTTGCATCAAATAGCAGGATTTCAGTCTTTGTTATAGCTGAATAATATTTCATTCAGTATATAGCACATAACCCAGATATATAACCCATTTTCCTCATTCAGTCATATATTGATGGGACTCAAGGCTGATTCTATAACTATTACAAATCATAATAAATATGGATATGATAATATCATTTTATTTCATGTTGAGATATACCCAGAGTAGAAGACTGAACCATTTATTTTGAAAGTGAACAGGGTTGCATACATCTTTGACAACTATTCCCCTAAGGAATACTGAACTGTGGAGAATAGCCCCAACTCCTATGATTTGTCTTAAAATTGTTCCTACTGATGGTTTGCCACCAGATAAGCACCTACATTGTGGGCTTGCTTTTTTTTTATTGTATATTTTATTTATTTACATTTCAAATGTTATCCTCTTTCCAGGTTTGCCCTCCAGAAATCCCCAATACTATTGCTCCCCCAACCCCACTTCTATGAGGGTGCTTCCCCACCCACTCCCTTCTCCCAGCCCTGGTATTCCCCTACACTGGGGCATTGAGCCTTCATAGGACCAAGGGTTTCTCCTCCCATTGATGCCTGACAAAGCCATCCTCTGCTACATATGCAGCTGGAGCCATGGGTTACTCCATGTATTCTTTGGTTGGTGGTTTGGTCCCTGGGAGCTCTGTGGGTCTGGTTGGTTAATATTGTTGTTCTTCTTATGAGGTTGCAAACCCAGTCAGCTCTTTCAGTCCTTTCTATAACTCCTTCATTGGAGACCCCATGCTCTGTTCAATGGTTGGCTGCAAGTATCTGCCTCTGTATTTGTCAGGCTCTGGCAAAGCCTCTCAGGAGACAGCTATGTCAGGCTCCTGTCAGCATGCACTTCTTGAAATCTGTAATAGTGTCTGGGTTTGGCATCTGTATGTGGGATGGATCCCCAGGTGGGGCAGTCTCTGGATGGTCTTTCCTTCAGTCTCTGTTCCACACTTTGTCTCTGTATTTGCTCCCGTATTTTGTTCCGCCTTCTAAGAAGGACTGAAGCATCCACATTTTGGTCTTTTTCTTGAGCTTCATGTGGTCTGTGAATTGTAGCTTGAGTATTCTGAGCTTTGGGGCTAATATTCACTTATCAGTGAGTGTATACCATGTGTGTTCTTTTGTGACTGAGTTACTTCACTCAGTATGCTATTTTCTACTTTCATCTATTTGCCTAAGAATTTCATGAAGTCATTGTTTTTACTAGCTAAGTAGTATTCCATTGTGTAAATGTACCACATTTTCTGTATCTAGTCCTCTGTTGAAGGACATCTGGGTTCTTTCCAGCTTCTGGCTATTATAAATAAGGCTGCTATGAACATAGTGGAGCATGTGTCCTTGTTATATGTTGGAGCATATACGTTAAGTAGTGGTATAGCTGGGTCCTTGGGTAGTACTATGTCCAATTTTCTGAGGAACCACCAGACTGGTTTCCAGAGTGATTGTACCAACTTGCAATCCCACTAACAATGGAGGAGTGTTCTCTTTCTTCACATCCTTGCCAGCATCTGTTGTCACCTGAGTTTTTGATCTTAGCCATTCTGACTGGTGGAATTTCTGATGGAATTTCAGGGTTGTTTTGATTTGCATTTCCCTGATGACTAAGGATGTTGAACATTTCTTTAAGTTCTTCTCGTCCTTTTGATATTTCTCAGTTGAGAATTCTTTGTTTATCTCTATACTCCATTTTTTTAATAGGGTGATTTTGTTCTCTGGAGTCTAACTTCAGGTTTGCTTTTTTCAGGGAATGTTATGCTACTAACCATTCAGATGCTCATTGGTCAGAACACTAAGCATCAACATCACCTAATTTGTCTCTCCTCACTGATTCACATGTGACACAGCAGTCACACCTGCAATGCCTCTAGGGGCAGGTAGGCTTACTAATTTTAAGCAATCAATCTCAGATATTCGTCAAAAAGAAAAAGTCCAGATAAAATAATATTGCCAGCCAATCATTCCAAATATTTTAAAAGATATGTTGCCAGCCATGCAGAGAATAAATTAGAAAAAGTCATACTTTATTTAAAACTTAACTATTAAGGGCATCGTACCTGTGAAAACAAAACATTATAGAAAGGAGAATTGCACGCAGATTTTACCAAAACCATCATAAAATATATGGGCAAGATGTTAGCAAATAAGATCAAGTCAGGGATCTCAGTCAGATTAACCTTGTTCTAGGATTTTGGTAATTATAATTATCAATGGAACTTAACGACTTGTAATAATTTACCCTTGTAGTGCAGAATATTGACAGTGGAAGAAGCCGAGATGTGTCAGGGCAGAGAGAGCATAGGAAACCTCGACAGTTCTCTCTTATGTTTGTTAAGTTAAAACTCCCACGAAAGGCAAAGTGTTTTAAAAGTACATGAATTGAGGCACTATTTTATTATGAGCAACAATTTTAAATTATTTGTGTGTATGTATTTACGTATGGACACATGTGTACCATGGTACGTGTGTAGGGGTCAGAGGACAACTTTCAGGAGCCCATTATCTCCTTCGTTCATGTAGCATCTGGGGATCAAATACAGGTCGTCAAGCTCGGTGGCAAGTGCTTTACTTGAGACACACCACTCCCCTGCACACACATAAGCATTTGTCAAAGCACTTACTAGAGAACAAGTTCATCCAATAGACAACAGGGAAAGGACATCCAGAGCACTGATACATGAGATGTATTTAAGAACCGAAGCATTTACGTGGAAACACAAAGAAATCAGGATAGATGAAACAACCCTGAATAATAAAAGAACCGTGTGTGTGTGTATGTGTGTGTGTGTGTGGCATCACAATTCTCACTTTCAAGTACAGAGCTATGGTAATAAAATAGAGGTACTGGCTGCATACACAGGGACTACACAGGTCTGCTCAAGGTCCTTTACATATATACTACAGCTTCCAGTTTTAATGGGATTCCTGAGTGTAGGAATGAGTGGGTCCGTGGTCTTTATGCTTTCTCCTGGGCTCCTGTCTGTCTCATTTGTTCAATTCCAATGTGTTGGCTTTTGTTTCATCATATTTTATTATTGTCCCTTAGAAGCCTATTTGTTTGGTTGTTTTTTCAAATGCAAGACAGAAAGAGAATAGATCTGGATGAGAGAGGAGGAGAGGAGGAACCGGGAGGAAGAGAAAAAAGGATATAAAAGATTATATATTCATAATCAGAATACAACATGTGAAAACAATCTATCTTTAGTAAAAAGAAAAAAAAAGTTCTTGTGGGTTTAGGAACCAATGAAACAAATCTCAGAATAACAAAGGCAATACATAACAAACCTGTAGCCAACATTGCAATAAATGAAGACAAACTGAGAGCATTTCCTGTAAAGTCAGGGGAGACATAAGAATATCTCTTCCTTTCTTCTTCACTATACAACTGGACTTCTTAGCTCTAACAATTAGATAAGAGAAAGACATAGCAGGTTTAGCAATAGGAAGGGACAAAGTCAAACTACCCCCATTTGTAGATGATGTGATTCTTCATATTCTTTACTGAGCCTGTGAGAAATCGGTATATTTAACAAACAGTTCTCTAAGACTCCATTCATGGTTAACTGCCCTCTAACATACAAGAAACATTTTCTATCGTGATGTCTGTACATACCTGAATATCTCACATAAACTGTTAAGTGTTATATCTATTTTTGTTTCCAAAGTAAGTGTTATCCCTCCACCTATGGAAGGGGTATGGAAAAAAGAGAAAAAAAACCTAAGAAAACAAATAGAAGATAATACATACATTCTAAAAATAAATATAACAACTCTGCCAGGTTAGATTTTATCATCTTGGTAGATTTGCGTTTTATTGGTCAGAGAGGGAGGGAGGGAGGGAGGGAGGGAGGGAGGGAGGGAGGGAGGGAGGGAGAGAGAGAGAGAGAGAAAGAGAGAGAGAGCGCGAGCGCGAGCAGGATCCCTATGGTGCTTCCACTAACAACCAGAGTCCCGTGGTCACTTCACTCTCACATAACCAAGGGTTTTGGTTTTTGTTTGTTTGTTTTATTTTAGTAAAACCATATCTATCCCCATAAATATGTATCAATATCAGTATTATTAATCTAGTTTTATGAGTTTAGAGAAATTTCATACAGAAAATAGGCACAAATAACTAGCAAACTTGAAAAGCAACACTATCAGTCTCTTCATAAAGACGATACAAGCTAACTAATCGCTAAAATTAAAATGCTTAATGTCGCCGGGCGGTGGTGGCATACACCTTTAATCCCAGCACTTGTGAGGCAGAGGCAGGCGGATTTCTGAGTTCGAGGCTAGCCTGGTCTACAGAGTGAGTTCCAGGACAGCCAGGGCTACACAGAGAAACCCTGTCTCGAAAAACAAAACAAAACAAACAAACAATAAAGCCGCTTAATGTCAACACATGAGTAGATAAGGCAAAACGGAGTCTAGACTATGAAGAGTGAGCACTTCAAATCATCACGTTTAAGATGCGCTTTTAAATACCTGCTGCTCAGGCAGCTGGATGGCTGCAGTAGTGAATACATAGAATCCCCCCACACACACATACATCCCCACACAGACACTACCAACAACACCATACATCGGAGGAAAGCAAGTTGACTGCCGACCGATATAAGCAAGGGAAACCAAACTGTATAAGAAGCAAAGAGAACACATGTGAGTATAAGAAAGACCATTTATTTAATTTTTTAATTGTATAGTAATAAAGTTTGTTACGTTTAACTAGATTGAAGCTGGCCATTTCGGGCTAGAATGCAGGTAGTCAGACCATTTGAAGACCTGACAGCCCACCATAGAAGCACCATAGCTAGGATTAAAACAATTTTTTAAAGGGATAAAGACCAGAAAACTGAAAAAGAAAGGTGAGACAAAAACAAAACCCAAATAATTTAAAGAGATGACATAAGAAGAATAGATGAGAGGGCCCAGCAATTCAGTATCTTGTTTATTTATCTTAAAAACTTCCAACAGGAAAGAACCCATCTTGGGGCAGTTGCTATTTGGGCCATACTCTGTCTCCACAAGAAGCAGGTTCTGGGAGTCATAAAATACAACCTTAGACATAGGTCTAGCCCTGATTTTTCTAGTAGCCTTCTCTCTCAGGAAGATTCAACCGGTGCATATAACATAATACAGACCCGAGTGGAGGAGACAAAGCTATTTGCTCTTCCTCTGATTCACATGACACCTTCCCAGCCAACATCTCGGAGGACTGGGCAGAATACCATGAGATGCTGCTTCTGGGGTTCTTCCTATGCCCTCAAATGCAAATGCTCATGCCCTACATTGTTTTGTATGTTTGGTCTCTAGCAGGCGCTACTGGAAAGTGGTGAACTTGCTACTCGGTCCTTGAGTCCGCTCTTCTGGTCATGGAGGATGTGTCCCAGGACAAGACTCGACATTCATTCCCCATCCGTGGAGTGACTAGGTTTTCTCTGCTGCGATGCCCTACCACATTGTCTATCGTTAGTTCAAAGGAATGTGGCCAAGCAACTGTGAAAGGAAACCTCTAAAAAGGAGAGAACAAAAGTTAGCCCTGGACTGTCCTTGAATTTGCTCCGTAGACCAGGCTGACTTCAGACTCAGAGATCTGCCCGCCTCTGCCTCCTAAGCAATGGGATTAAGGAGGTGTACCACTACTGACTAGTTTAAAAGTTAATCTTTTCATTGTTCATCTCTGGTATCTGTTATAACGGGTTATAGCGGCAGAAAGATGACAACAGGTGAGACTCCTGTCCTCCTCAGGGTTCCTCCAAGATAACAATGCCCGAGGGGCAGAGCGCTTACCTCAAATCACAGTCGTGACAGGTTTTAGTTTTTTCTATAACAAAAGCTTATCAGATTTACCAGACTCGCTTCTCCCCACTGTGGTAGATATGCTAAGAATTTCAACTGACGTATAGAATCATTAAGATTATTCTGCATTCTTTTGGAGAAAGAGAGTTTGTCAGCTTAAGGATCACAGAAAGTATAATTTGAATAACATTTTTCCACCAAATATAAAAGACAGACCCTTTGAGAAGCTAACCTGTAAGCTATCACCCAGTAAAGATTTGTTTTGATGGGATGCGTATCAGCATTAAAAGCACAGATGGATTACTCGAACCTTAACGAAAGGCTTATTGCTTTCAAAGCATCGAGTAGGACCTTTTAAAACTGAGAGCACAGTGGATTCACTGAGCATCATCCAGCTCTTGGTATACACAGCAAAATTAAAAATAATAAAAAGCAACTACAGAAAGCACATTTTCATGAGAACTGCATAAGAAGAATTCTCAACTACCAGATTTCCCCAGATTCTATCAAACCTATGTGCCTCTTACAAGCAGTCTAGAGTTTGGCTGAAGCTTTAAGGCCTTCTAGTCTAAAAGATGAGGTGCCATCCAGAGATACGTGCCTACCTTTAGTTTCTGCTATAGAAAAGATTTAAGGAATTTCACCTGCTTCTGCAAAAGAGCTCAATTAAATGATCTCCACTGGCATGCAGTGCTCCACGGAGCAAAGGAGCTACATAGAGTGCATGCTATCCATTTGGTGGACTGAGTGGTTTCTGCTCACACAAAAGTGACCCTCCCTTAAAAAATGGTACTATGGGTGATCACACAACAGGAGAATTAACAGTGGGGCTGCTTCCCAGTGTTTTACTCCTTACCAGAATAATTTGTGAAGAAAACTCTGTCATGGTTGGCTATGATCTATATAGCAGAGCAAACCTCAGCTATTGACCTTTTAGAGTTGAAGAGAAGTTCAGTTGGGTCATAAACTGAAGCCACGTTGACGCAAGGCACATCAAGTTTTAGATACATATGTTCCACATAGTTGAAAGAAGTAAAGAGAAATAATTGGAGTTAACATAATATAGTGGTTTTAATAGGAATGACTCTGTAGACTCA